ACAGCTCATGCCCATTGTCTAGTGTTTGCCATGAGCCTGATGGTTGGGAGTCAATGGAAATAGGTTTGAATCTCATATATGTTACATGAAATTAACATCAACTTCTCATACATATTTGCTCCTTAATTTTTAACTATACTTAATGGCAAGTGCACAAAAAGTAAGTACTTTTGTTTAATCAGAGCCTTGAGAACAAACAGATTTTTGGTTGCAGGGTAAAGAAAGTAGAGGAAAGGGAATGGATATTGCTGTCCAGTTCATCAAGAACTTGGAGTAAGACAGATGGCATATAGAAATGGTGCACTGGTCTATAGTTTTTAAGCTTTCCATGGTAGAGCAAAAGGCTTAGGCTTCAATTGAGAATCTGTTGAACACTTTTCTGCCATTTGCACATGTAGGTAGAGTGTTTTGTGTGCTCATGTGTCTGTATATGACATTGTGAAGAAACCACATACCCAGTGGAAAATAATGCCCCCTTTAAAATAAGCTGAAAGGCCTTGATATAAGGCAGTGTGGTCTTGCTTCTCTGTTTACAGAGAAATCCTTTCATGCAGGCATGATATATTGAGGACTTAAACCATAAAGATTTCTTATGCTAACAGACCATTTGTCTTGGATTTTCCAGGTTTCCAGGTTGTCTTCCAGGAATACACCATTGACCCTGAAATTAGCTATTGTGTGGAAAGATGCATTACAAGTCTCTAAATTATCAAGTTGTAGGAACTTGTCATCCCAGTACTTCAGAGGAGTCTGGCTCTGTTTCAGCCCTCCTTTCTGTTCTGAGGCTTTGTCACACGGGCAATTTCAGATGTCAGAGCCTCTGTTCCTCTTCCTTGCTTTACTTTACATCAACAGTTCCACCTACCACTTTACAGTTATCTTTTTCCATGATACTTTTAAAGCTTAGATTTGTTCCTTAAGGGAAAATTTCCCCACACTGGAAATGTGGATATTACCCAAATACTATGCAATGGCCCTTCCTTCAGAGTGAGTTTTCAGACTTTAGGAAATTAAGTGCTGCTGCTGCTGCTTTGGGTGTGTTCTTCATTACAGAAAAATATCTGTTCTATCTTTCTCTTATAAGTTAAAATCTTATTCAGTGAATGCTCAAGAACTTTCCTTAAGTTGCCCCAAGATATAACCAACCAGCCTGATATCAGAATTATTTTCCTGGAGGCATTCAGTGATACACTTTTTACTACTTCTACAATGATTTTCTTCTATCTCAGTGTCTAGTAGTTTATCATCTATATCAGAATAATAATCAGAATAGTTAGTATGCAGATTCCTGGGTTATATTTCAGACAGATAGAATCTTAGCCTTTTGAAACCAAGAGCCAAGAATCTGCATTTTCACTGACAAACCAATTATGGAAGTCCTCCCTCCTAGAAGATTTGCCACTGTCTAGAGATCATCTCCTAAAAAATAGATCTTGACTCACTGTAACAAAGCCACTGGCTCTCTTAGGATACAGGACTGAGGGAGAGAAGATACATCTTTATTCTTCTTCCAAGCCTTTCTTGTGGGGCTGGTCTAGTGTCTGCGAATAAGAACAATACTCAGGAAATCAGTGAAAGGAGGTCAGAAACACACAATGAGTGGCATTCCAAGATATTGCAACCTTCTCTGGTCTTTGATTATAGAAGCAAGCACTATGCAGTTTTTCATTCATTGGTCAATATTTATTACTGTGCCAGGGATTATGCTAGGTGCATTCTGCAAAACCTTGAAACTCCATATTTTTGTCAGAGATGAAAAAGAGAGACTTAAGTCTCAAATTATCCTTAGATAGGTAACACTGGCAAAATAATTAGGAGAATTAAGATATTTCTTTCCCTTTGTGTGCATATCTTTGTGTTACTCATTCTTATGAGGGTTAGGGCATTTGGCTTGTGCTTTCCAGGCATATGTATTTAATTTATTCACTTTATTTATGCATTGTTTGTTCAGTAAATATCCATCTACTCACTTATTCATGTATTTAGTTTCTACTATAGGCCCATTGTATGGCAGGCTAGGTACCAGATACCAATAAACCACACAAAGTTGTTGCCTCCCTTTTGAATACACAAAGGTCTTACATGATTTATTGGCTAAGTAAATATTGTTTTTTGATTCACTTTTCCAGAGATTGGCAGTTCATTAGGACATGAATTTGAGCCTGCAACCCCTCATGCTTTCTTCTGCTCCATTTGCATTTCACAAATGTCCTTTTCAGCAAAGTTGCCTTCCTTCCCAGACATATTATTATATATTAGAAACATTTATATCCAAAAGTGAGAAAAATGAATTAAAATTGTGGACTCTACCTGGCACTTCACCAGAATAGGAAGTCAAGCTGCTCAGCTGTGGATTTTTGACTGGTTCCATTGGGAAACCCCTGCCATGCAAACTCTTCAGGGAGAACACACTTCAAAGAGGTCCCAGTAATACTGTGTTTAAAACTTGCTAATTGGGCCTCACTGCAAACAGCTGCCCAGTTTAGCACTATTTGGGTTTGCTTTCCCTGACCCTAGATCTAGGTCATCTTTTTTTGTTACAATGAATTTATACTGGGATCTTAATATATTTGTTATAATCTCAGAAACTGTCACCATTTGAAGGATTATGAGATAATAAATGAAAACTTGGAGACAACATATTTGTCAATCCTTGAGTTCATTACCAACTATAGTTGAGAGTAGATGCCTTATTTGATATACTTTGCATAGTTATAGTACCTTAAACTTCCAAGAATAACAAAGCTGATGATGTTTGTTGGCTTTTATATGTTAGTGGAAGGATCAATCATTGTCTATGCTCCTACATTTAATTACTATGGGAAAGAGTAAAGAATAATGAATATTAGTTTGTTAAGTATAATTGATGTTGAATCTGATTTTTTAAGAGGTAATTTTCAGAACAATCAGTAAGTAGTGAGGTATGAACATTGAACTATTAGAAAGAACACTGGACCTAATAACTGGCATGGTCACACTTGTACCTACTTGTGTAGCAACTACAGGGTTACTGTCAATCAATTTTTCACTCAGATTAACTAGGAAGTGATCCTGCTGGGGCTCAGTGTAGAACCTGCACCTCAGAGTAGTTATTTTACCCTAGAAGTGAGAGTACTGGAGTATTTCTACTTTATTCCAGCCACCATTAATTGAAGACTGTCTTGCCATACAAGTAACAAAGTGGACTCTGGAGGGCTGAGGATGTCCATATGCAAAGACAGTGATGGTACTTGGAAGTCAGACTGAAGAGTATTGTTGTGATAAGTGCCCCAGAGTATGGGTGGGCATAGTAGCTACTATGGTGGTATGGGACATCTGAGGATGTTGGTGAGCCAAAAATGGGTTTCATGAAATATTTTTTCCTTTGCATAGGGCACAAGGTAGCAACTGTCTTCCTGAAGTTGTTTGAAAGGAATTGGTTTTCACAATATGACTCATAAATTAAATAGGATTGAGAAGGTAAAGTATATAAAAATGATGATAGTTATCTATCTATCTAGTTAATATTTATTTTTTTCTTACTGTGTAATACACATGGCTTCTCCATTTTCCAGATGATGAAATTAAGAAGCAGAGATGTAACTAAGTTACACAGGTGGAATGGTAGAGACAGAATTTGAATTCTGGCCTCTGTGCCTCCATATCAGAAATTCTGGCAAGCACGAAAGGTTTAACAGAATGTCCTTCCCCTCTCTCCCTCATCCCTCCATATCAAATACAAATATTTCAGTCTTTACTGTGTTTTTAGACACTGTTTTCAGCACTATACAGCAAACAAATAATTTTGATCCTTTTTTTAATCTAGAGAGTCTCCCATTGTTTCTTTTAAAAACATTTTTTCTTCTCTAGGTCCTGCCCTAACTTTTGTGAGACCTGGCAAGTGTAAAATTAGATGCTTATATCCCATGTCTAAATATTTAAAAGTTATAAATCAAGTTGATACACTGTTAAATAAAATATGCTCCCTTCTCTTCTGCTGGCAAATATGCCTGCACAAAAGAAGGCTCTGTAGGTATGGAGTCTGCTCATGGCCTGTGGCCTCTTCCTCATTTCTAGAGGGGCAGTGCAAGTATGCATGTGGACACCCCTACTTGCATATTCAAGCTGTATCCATGCAAACACCCACGGTGGTTATTTCATGGACTTAGAATTGTTCATCCTGGAAGTATGGCCTACCTTTGAGAGGATGGGTGTTGTAGTCGGGGGTTGCACAGAGAACAATTAGAAATAGGACATGGAGCTTCTAATATTGTTTTACAATGCTCACCCAGAGTTAACACAAGAAACTGCAGGAAATCTATCCACAACACCAAAGACATAGAATATTTGATCAAGGGCCTAAATCCCACAGCAATGTCCCACATGAGTCCAGATGAAAACCCAGAGCTCATGACAATGCCTCCCATGAGTCCAACTGGAGGTCCAGAGCCCACAAGAAGGACTCACGCCAATCTCTTTTATGGATCTGTGCTGGAAAGGCCCAAAGGTCAGCAGTGGAAGCCAGAAAGTGTATGCCAGCGGGGTGAAGGAGCTGTGCTGGTGGGTTGAGGGTTCTACGCTGGAGCCGAGAAGTCACACTCAAAACAAAGACCAGGACTGTCTGGAAAAGTACCACAGCCTTCTTCAGCGACACAGAGGCTCTGAGCTCCTCCAACCATAAGCACAGTCGAGTACATGCCAGGAAGCCAGCATGACGAGTTCATCCTAGAGACCAAGCAGTACACATCTTTCTCTTGGGAGCCAGGAAGCAATGGTCGATGTGAGGACCAGAGCTTCTCCAGAAGAAACAGTGGCTCAAACAGCAACTCATAGGAGAACCCACAATGCCTCAACGCCTTAACACAATAGCTTCTCCTTCTCCACGTCTCTACTTATGCTGGGACATTTACGCTCAGCAGCACAGTGATTTAATTCCTCTGGGGAGTTAAGTTGACCATCAGTTTTTAAACTATAACAATGGGTCTGGCAAAGTCTCTGGAAATCAGTTTGAGCATTTGGACGGGGGATTTAGGGTCACTGCTCCCAAGGCATGGTCTGGAGGAAGTGATGCAGGCTCCAGGTGGGCACACCTGCATGACTCCCTCAGTTTGCCTTGAGGTAAGAAGCACAACCAGCAGACAACTTGGGAGCTCCTGTTTCCAGGGTCTTAGAGCTGTATTTCTCTTACCTGTTCTAATCTCCACTAAATCCCATTCTTACATGTATATAGTCTTGCTATCTGTTCTTCTGAGCATTTTTAATGTATATTTTCCTTCTGAGGATTTTAATGAATGAAAATGTGGAATATAAATACACTATTTGTTGAAAGGGGGGGAGGTTGGATGAGGTGGGCATATGGTAGATGTTACTGGAAGAGATGGAATGATTGTCAAAAGAGACCCATGGGCTTCTCCGGGATTAGTAGACTTCTCCACACTCAGCAGCCCTAGTTTGCTGAGGTAGAAGATCTGCCATCCAGATCTTTGCCTGGAGACCTTGACTTCTGGAAATGCATGTGGTTCAGCACTAGCAGCTTTTCAGCCTGTTTTCTTCTTTAGCCACAATACCCAGGAATTCTAGAGAAACTCCTCAAGCATGCACAGAAGCAGTCCTTCTTTTACTGGGCCAGATATAGCTGGGGAACCAGAAGACTCTTGAAGCTAAAAAATACTTGTCCTATAATCCCCCTCTCTTCTTCAGAAAAGGTAAGTGATTTAATATTTACTGGACTTCACTTATCAAACCTCCAGAATGTGATAGCACACTATTGCCAATAGTCGTCTCCTTTTTTATTCTTAAGAAAATAGTATATAGATATTCCCCTCTCAAATCCTATTTATGTCTCCTGTTATGTTAGGGAAAGTATTAAAAGATTTGTTTTGTATGGCATATTAATCAGAAACATAAAAGATCGATACATGAAGACAGTATTTATTATCAGAATTGACTCATGAGTTTATGGATGCTGAGAAATGCCCTGATATGTCATCTGCAAGAGAGCCAGGTAGGCAAAGATGTAGTTCAGTCCAAGTCCAAGGGACTGAGAATGAGTGGAGCCAATGCACATGTCTCAGTCTCAGGCTGAAGGCCTGAGTGCCTGGAGTTTTGAATTCCAAGGGCTGGAGAATATGGTTGTCCCAACTCTAGGTAAGAGAAATTTTACGCTTCATCTGCCTTTTTGTTGCACCTGAGCCCTCAGCCCACTGGGTGGGGCCTGTCACATTGGGTGAGGGTGGGTCTTCCTTATTCAGTCCTGTGATTCAAATGCTAATCTCTTCCAGAAGCACCCTTACAGGCACATCATAGATAATGTTTCGGATATCCTTGGATATCCCTTGTCCCTGTCAAGCTGACACTTTAAATTAGCACTATCACATATGGTAAATAGTAATCCTTGCTTTCACTATTGTTTGGAAAAGTTGTAGAGAAGAAGATGGATTTTAAATGTTTTAAAATGTAGGGAGAGGAATCAGCCATTAGAGAACCACCCTGATGGTTTTCCTCTTCTGTGAAGCTCCCATCCTCCTATCTTGCAAGGTGCTTCAAAGTCCAGGACACTACTTCAGTTGCCTTTCAATCCTTTATAAGTGCATGGTCAGTCCCAGGGCATTGTATTTTGTTTGTACTTTGAACTCTTTCCTCCCTTTTACCCTTTGTGAAATTTATTTCCATTCACATTATCCCTAATGAGGTGTAGTGGAATTGGCTCAGATGGGTTTCTAAGGGTTTCAGGAATTGAATAAGTCAGTTATTAAATATAGTCACTATAAAAATTAAATTATATATAGATTTGGTGAGCTATGAAGGAGGGGAGAAACCTCACCCATCACCTCTCCATTACCCTGGGAACCTTGAGAAACCCAGGTGCCTGTCCCATTCCCCTACACCGCAGAACAGGCATCCAGCATGGAAAGTGCCTGAGACTTGGCAACCAGCTTGCCTGGATGAACCCAGGGTAAGACTGTTCTAACAAGGGGAAATACTTTGCATACAAATGCCTAATTTACAATTGGTTGTTACACAACTGTAAACTTTGCTTCTGTGGTCTAAAGTACAAAATCAATAGTCATCACAGTTTGCCAATTTCTAAATTGTGCTTGATGTTATCATTATTGCTAAGTGTACTACTGTAGCTATGATGTCATATCTGTTGTAATCAGTTGTTCTCCTTTATGTAACAATGTCAGGAAGCTCTGGGGTGTAATCTCACCACAGCCTTACACCAAAAGACTGGGGAATGAACCAAACCGAAACCAACATTCCACTCTCAATTAACTGGGAAAGTAGGATCTTGGGATAGACACAAACCAAGAGGGATATCTCACACAGGAGATATCCCTGAAGAACAGACTTTTCCTAGGTAGGCCTCGATACTAGTGGTATTGCTACCTACCTCCAAAACTCAAAAGAATCATTCCAGAAAACAAAATACAAATTTTTTGAGATAGAAAATGTCAAGACAAAGGAAGAAAAAGCAGTCTCAGATCTCCAATTCATGCAAAACAAGTCCAGGAGACATGGACATACAAGAAATTGGAAGCTATATACCTGAAATTACTGATGATAGCAGCTGATTGTAGGACGTTGAGTGGTATCTCTGACTTCTACTCATTGAATGCCAATAACATCTCCTTCCCAGATTTATCAAAAATGTCTCTAGATTTTTGTCAAATGTTCCCTAGAGACCAAAATTTTCCCCAGTAAAATATAAAGAATTGAAAAAAAAATCAGATCCCCCAAATTTAAAGTCAATCCAAAAATGGGCATTTGAAATGAATAGACACTTCTCAGAAGAAGTACAAATGGCAAATAAATATATGAGAAAAATGTTTAACATCACTGATCATTTGAGAGGTGCAAAGTAAAACAATGCTTAAATTTTATCTCACTCCAGAAAGTACATGGCCAAAAAATGGCCATTATAAACAAATCAACCAATAATAAATGCTGGTGGGGCTGCTGGGAAAAAGGAGCTCTTCTCCACTGTTGGTGGGAATGCAGACTGGTGCAACATCTGTAGAAATTAGTGTGGAGATTCCTCAAAACACTAGAACTAGGGGACTCGGGATTTAGCTCAGTGGCATAAGTACCTGCCTTGCAAGCAGGCGGTCGTGAGTTCGATCCCTGGTACCGATAAAAAAACAAAAACAAAAACAAAAAATCTAGAACTAGTGGTTCCATTTGACACAGCTCTTCCCCTTCTTGTATCTTCTTAAAAGAATTAAAAGCATCATGTATACAATAATATATACACACCCATGTGTATAATAGCCCAACACAGTTTGCAATAGCTAAACCTTGGAAACAACCTAAATGCCCATCAATTTTCAAATAAATAAAAAAGATGTGGGCACATTTTTTTACAGTGGAGTAATACTCAGTCTTAAAGAAGGATAAACTTAAGTCAGGTGGACAGCCTTTGAGACCATATTCTTAAGTGACAAATCAGACAAATATGTGTAAATATCACATTGACTCTCTGATGTGAGAAATTGAAAGTGTAAATAAGAACCAAAATGTATAATAGATATTGGGAAATTGGAAGCAATTTTTTCAAAGGGAATGGGGAATGGGGGGGGGTAGAAGGGAAAAGAAAAAAATGAAAAAAGGACAAAATGTAAAGAAAACTTTTTAAATAAGTAGGGGGGAGGGGTTGAACAGAGGAGAAGGGAATGGGAGAAAAAGGAACTAAGATATAATATAGATACACATACAGTGCGAATTCTCTACAATAAGTGCGATCATTATACATATTTAAATTGTACCAATAAGCTTAATTATAAAAAAAATTATCCCAAATTCAGAATATTATTCCTTAGACAATCTTAATTTCTCAATGTAAATGACTTGCTTTGCTCTCCTTTTTAGATTTTAATGTGCACTTGATAAATATTTATTATTGGAAACTGGGAAGATGGTGAATCAATAGACAGGAGGGAGGGGCCAACCTGCTGCACCCCTGTTTGTACTTCAGTGGTCATCAGCAGACTGGGGAGGGCAGCAATCCCTAGTCAACATGCTTCAGAGTAACCGTGGCTAATACAGGAAGTACTGAGAGCCCCTGTTACCCACTTGAAAAAACCAGAAACATAACAAGAGGAAGAAACAAAAGGAAGTCTCCAGCCTTCAACCCAAACAGTACTGGCCCAGGAGAGGTAAACACAGAAGAGATCAGGGGTTGCACACCTGTGGTTCCTGAAAAAGCAGCATCTGACATAAAGAATTATCTTTGTGACATTATAAAAGAACTCAGAACAGAAATACTAGTAGAGGGGCTGGAGGTTTAGCTCAGTGGCATAAGCGCCTGCCTTGCAAGCAGGCAGTCATGAGTTCGATCCCCAGTACTGATAAAAAGGAAAAAGACCAAAAAAAAAAAAAAAAAAAAAAAAAAAGAAATACTAGTAGAAGTAAAGGAAGATATAAGAAAAATAATAAAAGAAATGCTAAGTACCTCTCAAGAAGACACACATGGAAGAATGGAAGAGCATAGAAAAAGGAGAGAAACCTTCAATGAAGAATATATAAAAAATCTAAAATACATGAAACAGATTTAAAGAGATTACCAAGAAATTAAAAACTCTATTGAAAGCTGGCAAAATTGCTTGAAAGAAACTAAAGATAGACTATCAAACATTGAAGACAGGTCTGCAACATGTGAACATGAAAGGAAAGATCTCTTACAAACAAAAAGGAACCAGGAAGTAACAATACAAAGGCTAGAAGATGACAAGAGGATCTATAACTTAAGAATAAAAATGTGAGTGAAGAAGCAGGGGTAAACACAAATGAAGTACAAAGGCTATTTACAGAAATAATTAAAGAAAACTTCCCAAGCATAGGAAAAGGGAATGATATTCAGATATATGAGTCATATCCAATTCAATTCTACAAAAAATACTGAAGGACATTCTAGAGAGAGAAAAAAAGACCATGATTTCAAGGACAGTGAAAGAGGGGTCTCAATGAATGGGGCAGATAGTGGAATGAAGGGGAAAAGTAGACAACCAATGGCAGAAAAATAGCATGGCAGAGATGAGGCAGAGAAGGTTGCCCATAATCACTAACATGGGTGGCCTCAATACACTAAAGAAACACAGGCAGAGTGAATCAGGAGATAGGGTCCATCAACATGCTCTATATAAGAAATATATTTAACCTTAAAGAGGGTTTATGGACTGAAAGTCAAAGATGAGAAAATAATGTTCTATGTGACAGAGAACCAGAAAAAAGTGGGGATAGCTCACCCATCAGCTGCAGATTGGAAAGACATAACACTTTTATACAATGGAGAACTACTAAGCTATAAGGAAGGAAAACTTTGAGGCTCTTGTAGGTAAATGTATACAATTTGAGACCAAGATCAGGGGTAAAAAGGTTCAGAACCACTTAGGTAAATAGCAGGCTGCCTCTCTAATCTAAAAACTAGAGGAGTTAGTGGGAAAAGTGAAAGGGAGGAATTGTCTAAATAGGGAAGGCAGTGGCCATTGTTAATCTTGTATCATGATTTGAAACCTATATTGCTTTCATTGCTCTGTTTAGTTTGGTTATATTCTGTTCCAGTTTGTCTACTTGTACTAGACTTGAGGGCATAGACAGCTATTCCAAAGATAGCAGGATATACTATGGTAACCATTTTTAGTTTCCTGTTAACTTAATCTGAAACCCTGTATTTCCTTCACTGCTTTGTTTTGACTGATTTTATTTGAATTTGTTTTGTTCGATTGCTGTCTTGTCTTGACTGATTTAATTTGAATCTGTTATATTTGATAGTATCAAGTCTGAGAATACAGGCAACAAGACAATAAGATTCACTATGATACCCATTTTGGTTTGACTATTACCCTATTTTGAAGCCCTTTTGTCTCCAATGTTTTATTTTTATTGATTTTATTTCATACTCTATGTTCAATTTTATTGTACCTGATGATATGGGCAATTCTATTGAAGGTAACAAGAGATATCACGGTAAGTATTGTAGAACACCTTGTATTGTGGTTTTAAATAATGTGCTCTGTCCATCCTTTTGTTTTGAATGATCACATTTTGTTTTTTGTTTTTTTTTTCTCATTTGGTTTTATTCTTTTCAAAATAAAAATAAAAGTATACGTATTTATTCACTGCATGTATATTATGCATGCAGATATACTGACAAACAAGGTAAACATTGTCTCTGCCTTCACAGAACTCCAGTCTAAAATCTTCAGGTGGCTTTGCAGATGCCCCTGTCTCCTGGAGCTGCCTGCCATCTGCAGCATTCAACTCCTTCATGTTCTTCACCACCATAAATTACCACCAATCAAGAGTCTTTGGGATGGGCCCCTTTGATGTGTCTGCAGATAAATTTCCAAAGGCAGCAGAAAGCTTCTGTACACTGGAGAGAAAGGAACCGGTTCTAAAGATTGGCTATAAGGCTTTCACAGAAGTATTCCAGGATTTATGCTTCATAATGGCACTGATAGGAAGTCCATCTCTGGGGAGAGATTTGGTGGTGGGAACTTCATCTTGAAGCAGGTTCTGGTACCTTGTCCATGGCAAATGCCGGACAGAAAACAAATTGCTCTCAGTGTTTCATCTGCACTGTCAAGCCTGATTGCTTGTGGTAACCAAGGGGTCTTTGGGAAGGTGAAACAAGGCTTGAACATCACATCACAGGAGGCACAGAACACTGTGGGACCAGGTTTGGTAAAACCATTGCTGACTGTGGACAACTCTTGTGTTTTAAGCAAGAGACTGTTCTGATAAATAGAGAGCCCCACTTCTCCCCATAATTCTTTGCACTTGCACCTTAATTCTTTGAGTTCCACACTTTCTTTATTTCACTCCAAGCCTAGCTGAATTGCAGAGTTACACTTATGATTATGAAATAAAAAATAAATAAAATAATATCATGGACTAAGCTGGAAATTTATAATGTATCCACAAGGACTAGAACATACAGCATGTTCAGCGGTGATAATGATCTTTATTAATTTCATTAGTACTAATTGAATGATTATGCAATAATTATACATATAATGTTATATTCCTCTTCAAGTGATTACTGTCTGTTGTGCATAGCAGCTGCCAAAAGGTGTGCCTCTCAGGTGATTGCTAGTAGATCCAGGATGACAAGTAACTTATTTAATATAGTTTTAATATAGTAATCTTAGTTAGTGGCTAGAAGGGATGAGAAATCAAATATGATACTCAAGAGTATAGAAGAAGTATTTCTGACTGATGAGCTTCCAAGGTATTGCCACCATGGAGACTGTCCAGGACACAGACTAACTAGAGAGCACAATCAGAAGTCAAGAAATACCCAACTCCTCTAAGGACCTAAGGGCATCTGAGTCAGTGGGGCTCTGACTCTACCTAAAAAACATCCAGTAGATGTTAACAAGCCACCAGGCTTTAGCAGCCAGGCCTTCTAGGATGGAAACCCAGAGAAGTTGGAGGATGGTACAAGGGCACATCTCAATCCTGTGGATCAAGACCTTCCCTTCCCCTTTCTTCCACCATGAAATCCCTCTTCCCCAGGGACCATCTTGGAGAGGAATTGGAAAGTGGAGAGAAAGATTTCAAGACTAAAATATCAAGGAGACAGTGTGAATTATTGAATTGGATGATTTTCCATGTTTACTAAGATGAAAGACTTGGGAGAAAGGTCAATTTATAGAAAATAATAAAGCTATATTTTCTTTGTGTAGCTAAATGTAGAGTAAGAAAAATTTGAACTGCCAAAATTCTCTGTGTTTTGCATCTATTTACAGGTATGCAAGAACACACATATCTACAAGTGGTACTTTCATACATTTTTCCTACCATTACCTCCTTCCAAGAATCCATAACCACAAAAACTTTAATGAGGCATTACTGAAGGTTTCAAAAAGGAGATGATGGAAAAGATTCATGGCTCACCCCACCTTATCCCTTTGATACTCTGTTTCTCATTTTCTAAACCCACTTTTATCATATTGGCTGCATAGTACCTCTGAAAGCAGACTCTATTTTACTGGGGTGGTGTGCCATGATGTAATTTTCATTTTGTTGCAGTACACAAAACCACGATGTATTTTATATGGGTGACTGCTTATTTTGATGATATCTTGTAGTCTTATATTTGCTGTCCTTTCTGAACTGCTACAGCAGTTCAGCCACTGGAGGAGCTGAGTAGAGTGGCTCAAAGCATAGAGTCTGGATCAGAGATCACTCACTGGCTCCACCATTCACTTGCCATGTAACCTTGGTCAGGTTACTGAACTGCTTGGGGCTTCTGTATCTTCATCTGTGAAATAGAGTAACATTATATTAATCAGTTTTTCTATTGCTGGGGTAAAAATACCTGACATACATAATGAAAAGGACAAAACGTTTATGGATTTCAGTCCATGGTAAGCTGGTTCTATTAGTTTTAGGCCTGAGTGTGACAGAAGCATCATGATGGAAGGGCATGGTGGAGGAAAGCTTACATCATGACAGCCACGAAGCAGAGAGAACAGGAAGAGTCAGAGAGGAGACCAGGCTGGGGACAGAATATAACATTCAAAGACAAAGGCACACCTCTAGTAAACTATTTTCCTCCAACTCACTCCAAGTCCTAATAGCCCGTTCAGCTATGAATTCATCAGTGGACCAAGCCAATGGATTCAGCGGATTGATTCATCAGTCAGGATAAGCTCTTCATGATCCATTCACTTCCCAAAAGTCCTGCCTCTGAACACATGAGACTTTTGCAGGTCACGTTATGTCCAAACCGCAGTAATTGCTAATTATTGTATAGGAATTAAGTGAGTTGATAGATATAAAGAGATTGTAATAAATGGTGAATACTAGAAAAATACTTGGTCCTCTTGTTATTGCCTTCAGCTGTAGTTGTGCTTATTGTTGTCTATTGCTTTTTGTTGTTTTCTAAATACTGGTTCAATGACCAGTGTTTGAACTATTTGTATGCACTCTCAAGATCTTGACTTTTTTTCTCATTTGTCTTAGCTAAATATTTCCTCCAAACAAATATTCTCTGCCAGAGGAATTTTAAAAAGTAAGAATTTCTGTAAGTGGCAATATATTTTTATTATTATTTTGGAGGTATCTGTGATAGATGCAAGACAACGAGAAATGATCCTGATGGAACAGAACTGGTTTGTTGAACACCTTTAGAGCACAGAATGAAAAAAGTGCGTGGAACCAGATGGGCATTTGAAGAGCAAATGCAATGCATTTCTGAGATATCAATTTGTTACTATATTTTGAAAGCAAACTTTCTCTGTAGTGGACACCTACCCACACCTACCATGCCAGCCAGCATGTCAAGATAGAACTTTCACACCCTCTAAACATTTTTCTGTAGGGTTAGTGATACTTCTTCCCACACATCAGACTGGCCCTATTAGTGGGTGCTGAACTGAGCCATTAGTGTGGACTGGGGTTAAACGTGGAGATGCCTAGCCAGGGGAGGAAGCTCAGTGACACAGGGCCTGCCTGACAAGTGCAAGGTCTTGAATTCAGCTTGTGGTCAAACAACAATAACAACAACCAACCAACCAACCACTGCTTAAAAAAAGTTGGAGATTTCAGCAGCAGTATTCCAGTTATAGGTGTCCTAGAGAAAGTTGAATGTTATGGGTTAAATATAAAGGCCTGTGTATTGAGGGTACTACCTTCACGGATGGGTTAATTCATTGATAAGTTCATTCCTGAATGTGCTATTAGGAGATAGGGTCTGGTGGAAGGAAGTAGGTCACTGTGGACATAACCTGCTTCTTATTCTCTTTCTAGCTCTTTCCAACTTCCTCTGTGTCCTGACTGCCATGAAGTGAACAGCTTTTCTCCACCACACAGTTCTGCCATGATGTTTGTGCCTTGGAGCAAACTCACTGTGGACTGAGACCTCTGAAACCATGAGCCAAAATAAACCTTCTCTCCTTTAAGTTGTGTATGTCAGATATTTTGTTCCAGTGACGCAAAGCTGACTAACACAATAGACAAAAACAAACAGCCACCCTGGAACATCTGGGTCTGAGGTGCGTCATAGGCCTGCATGCCCTGAAAGGCTTTTCCAGAGCCTCTGTGTCAGGGTTTGAATGCCTGCAGTCTTGGCATTCTCTTCAGTGAGACTGGACAAAACAATTAGCAGGGACAAATGGAAAACTTCTTCTGTGTAAGGTTTGCACGCTTACATCCAGAAATCAAATACACTGAAGGCAGAATGTGTCTTGATACAAGATCATCAGTATCCAACTGGTTAGGATTCCCTGGATAGTTCATTTTGTTGTGATTTTGTCTAAAGAACAAATAACATTGTAGGTGCTTACCTCTGCCACAAAGTAAAAGTTTTTGAATGGGGACTAAAAATTGGTTTTGTTTGTTTGGGATTGAATGAGTCAATAGTTTACTATGAGTGTTTATAAATGAAACGAAATGTGCCTAGAGTCTTGAGCCTCCCCCCACAAATATTTCCTATTTTTCCAGAAAATTATGATGCCAGATTTTGCCATAGCAACCAGAGGCAAATATCAAGACAATAATATAGAGTCAACTGGGAAAGGGTTCCCTCAGGCGTGGCTTGAGTTTGTGTAGGGCAGTCATCTTTTGTGCAGAGCCCTGGAAGGTGAGGAGAGGCCCAGTTTTCCTCATGGGGAAGCAGTAGACCCAGCTTTACACACTTTCAGGCCTCACCCACACCTGCATCTCGAGTTGAGCAGACCAGATGCAGAAGCACTGATTTGCCTGCTCCTCAGGTTTTTCTCATGTTGTATATTTTCTTTTCAGATTTAATTCATTTTATTTTTCTCGTGTAAAAACCCTTATATGTTGCAGCTATTGCTGGAGCATTGGACAGAGACTCTGGTGTGGGTTTTCACAAGATGGCCAGTGAGTTCTTGGTATGGGTCAGAGGTTAGGTAGCTCTAGGCCTTGGAGATGGCATCAAAGGTGGCCTTAGCAAAGCTGCCCAGAGTAGCAGTGCAGCCCCTGGCAGAGGTGTATGCCATCAGCAGCAGCTTCTTGGGCACAGGGATGAGACAATAGATCCCAGTGCCTCTGGAAGCAGGCATCAGATGTACCAACACAGAGCCACAGTGACCTGTCACCTTGCAAGAAGCGGTGTGAGTCTGCCAATCTTGTTCCCCTGGTACCTTCTCTGAAGGGAGACAATGGGGAGCTTGGCCAGGATGATGGCCTTGTGAATGGCTACTTCTTTGAAACACTTTACACCCAGACCAACTTGACTGTTATAGTCCCAATGGAGACAAAGACATGAACCCAGTTTTCTGGGCAGCACTAGTTTGCTTTTCAATGGGCATGATCTTTAGAACTTTATCCTTGAAGGGTGTGCCAGGAAAAAGTCAATCATCTCATATTCCTTGATGGCTAAGAAGAGATAAATTTACTCCAGGGACTTAATCTTCACGTCCTTGACCAGAGCTCACATTGGTGTCAGGAATCCTTTTCTTGTCCTCAGCCTTCCTGCCATGAGTCTCACTGCACAGCTCTGGTCCTTGCCCTCAAGAGCCACTGCTGAGACCTCTGTGGAATCCACCAAGGCCTCCCATGCTTGGGCCTCCTGGGGCTACAGGCTCTCTTGCTGTTCCAGAGTCATCCATCACTTAGTATTTTCTGAAAGAAGAAGACATGCTGTGTGTTGATCTTAATTTTGCATGTCAAGTTTTCAAAATTAGATGTATTCAAGTATTATTCCATCATGTGTTCTCTGAAACATTTAATAAACAGATCTGTTGTTTGTTGCCTAATTGTTCTCACAAATGTTCTTTGGAAGAAGGCAAGATGTATGCAGGTGTTCCTATGAGCATATACCCTCATAGAAAATGGTAAAATGGGTTCAAGTAACAAGCACTGGTCATGGAATTATTATTCATAAAATGTGGAAGGAAAACAATAAGCAACAGATTGTTCATATATAACTTCATAGACATGAATAACGAAAAACCAGGATGTTAATCTTTAAATATTTGTCTATGATGTGCCTTAGACTGTGCTGTTTGTTGTCACTGTTGTCATGGTGAAGTTACGAGGTCAGACTCCTTGCCAATAGGTAAAACCACTTCTGTTTTCCTTATAGCACAGCTATTTGCTGAAAGTACTTCAGAGTTTTTATTTATTTCAGGTGTTGATTCTGAGTAAAAGTGTGTTAGTAAATATTCAACAAATTGCCCCCTCAGATATAAAATTGCCTTGATTAGTAGGATGTGTCAATATCTGTAGTAGAAACTCTAATTATGACTAATTTCAAGCTGCCAGGATGACCCCTGAATGAGGAGCTCCGAAGAGATGCGTATGAGACTGTTGTTGGGAGCTAGTGGTACCATACCATGGATTCTTTGAATCTAGGTCAGGAGCTCTCAGTCTTTTGACATTTGGGGCTTTATAATTCCTGGATACCCCGTGCCTTTGATGTTTAACACCTCTTCAGGCTTCTGCTGAGCACATGATGACAACATCCTGTTCTCCAAGTTGTAATAACCAAAAATATCTCCAGATGTTGTCCAAAGTCCCATGAAGGGCAAAATCACCCCTCAGCTCTGAATTAATTCTGTGTGGATGGTATTTAGAAGGTCCATTCTGCAGACAATAGTCTTCACCAATGGTTTTACTTCAACCATCCTGAATACACATCAAAGAAGTTCTCTTTCGGCATTGTGCATATGATATTTTATAAAGACAGAATGCACTTCATGGAGAGTTTAGAGCAGAGTGATGCTAGAAAGATTGAAGACACTGAGACAAAGTGTGGCCACTAGGGGAGAATCAAGGTAATTCCATGGGCTTCATTCAAGTGCGGGACAGATTGTGACAAGCTGCAGAGGTTCCTCAGTCCAAAATTTTCTTTGTACAAATGAGAAATGAGACACAAAAGCAAGGAGTGACTTGTTATGCAATGGCAATCAGAAACACTGAAATGAAGTCCACAATTTGGAGGCAGATTTATTTAAGGTGATAAGCACTGATCCAGATCACTCCCAGAACATCAGGCCCTGATCATTGTTGGTTTAGGATTTTTACGTGGTGCACAAAGAGGAGTCATAAAGGACTTACAAAGGTGAGACAGAACAGCCTGGCAGTTCTGATTAGCTAGCAATGTGAGATCATCAGTTACCAGGCTAGATTAATGATCATCAGTTCATGAAGCTGGGTACAATGGTACAATGAAGCATCCTGCATGTTTGGTTATGAGCTCATGGTTACAGCAGCCAAGAAAGTAAGTACAAAGGCATGAAGCAGTTACAGAGCTAGGCAGTTTGAAAAGAACAAAGTTTTATTTTATTTTATTACTTTTTATTTTAAAGAGAAAAAAGATAAAAATAACAATGAAACAGAGTTTCAAAACAGGTTAATAGGACAGTTACAATAAATTAACACAATGCATATTGTTATCTCCATAGTAGTTATTCAGAGGACAAGAAACAGGCACGATATCTTGTATAAACAATGTCAGCATAAACCTTTCCTTTCAATGAACTAGGAGAAACTAGCTATATAACCATCTTAACTATCTAGTGTATACATATATACATATGTTTTTTATTTGTCCCTTTCTTACTTTCTCCCATTACAGTTTGTCTTTTCTTTTGAACAGTTTCTTCCAATTTACTATATCTATTATACTTTTTGGATCTTATTTACTCATTCAGTTTCTCACACTAGTGAAACAATGTGATGTTTACTCATATGGGTCTGATTTATTTCATTTATGAATGTGGTTTTTGAGTTGCACCTATTTACCTATAAAAGTCTCCAGAAGAACAAAATTTCAAAATGAACAATTTCTTTTGTATAGTTTTTTCTTTTAGTCAAAAGGCACAGAGTTAGGTGTGGATATGCTAGGGAGAGTCACAGAAGCACAGCAGGAAATGTGAGATGCTTTTGTGATATATCGGAATTGAGACGTCATGGTTTATGTCAGAGGCCCCCAAGCCTCATGCAGTTATGGACTCTAACAAATCTACCATTTGTGATTGGTTCATTGTCTAACGTTCGGATTGGTGGTGAGAATGCTACACCTGCCTAGAGATGGAGCCAGCATAAGATGTAGGCAGGAAGAAGTTGTGTCTCCCTCTCTTGTCGGTTGGTGCCTTGCTGTTTTGGCAATGAATGGTAGCCTTGCCCTGCCACCCTGCTGCTTGGAGCCAGCTGAGTATGGACTGAACCCTCCAGCCTGTAAGAAATAAACATTTCCTTCAGTAACTTTGGGCATCAGGTAGTTTGTCTCAATAATGAGTAAAAAGTAACTAAGAGAGGACTGATTCCAACTGGGAGCTACATGTTTTGTGGACTTTACAGTGTTAGTATTAGATGGTGGTATTCGGACAGCTCTCTGTCCCTACCTTGCCACCCCCTTAGATATTTCTGCGACGAAAACCACACTATAGTGATGGACTTCTGTTTCAGACAAAATTAATCCCTTCAGATGTAGCAAAATATCCTCTTCAGGGGGGTCAAGCTGCTTGTCACTAAAGAATAAGGGTTGAGAACTATCATTGACTCCTCTCTCCTTTCCATATCTGCTCTGGACTCTGTCTTTGATGAGAGATCTCAGGCTATTCCCAAGATGATCTAAAAAAGGGATTTTATTGAAGAAACTGAATTTCCAGTAGAAAACTTAAAACGACAAGATCAGTGTGATAAGAACTAAGAAAGCTTGCATTAAAAATGTATTTTGAATTTATAGAGGTGCCCAGTGATAAAGGAAATGTTAGCAGGGGGTGGGAGGAATCTCTTCCTCAGCAGAATCCTAAGCATTACACTTTCCAGTGTAAGTAGGGTGACCACACACCAGCACCCCAATATGCTTCAAATGATGGGCAACTGGGCTTCATAGGTAGGGCAAAGATGCTTTTTAATTAGGGTGTTGAACAAAAATGAAAAGAGTGCACTGAATCATAGCTTTTAAAAATGTACTTCACCACTTTGA